TATATATATATACACAGATGAGGGTGAGATCAGAAAAGAATCAGACATGGAAAATGATAGCTGTATTATTAATACTGGTAATAAACTTCCCAAGTGTTGGTTACATAAACAACTTGCCGAAGATAAACCCTGATATCGGATTTTCTTGCTGCTGTGCAGGTAGTTAAGCTTTTTCTGAATTGCTGCCTGCCCACCTCCATAGTGTCATTCCTTCTTGGCCAGCTAGGGTAAAAATGCCTGGACATTGTCGGAGGGGTGGTCAGAAATCACTATTCCCACAATGTTTGAACTCAAAAGAACCCAGAAGTCAGACATTATCCACATAATTAGCCAAGAAGCAGCCATGCTATGGAGACCTCATATAATTTACAAATCAACTTGTTTTTGTTATTGATCTTCAGGATATAAACATGTGCTTGATTTAAAAAATTTGCAAGATTTCTCGGCCATGAAAGTCTTCCTTAATTGCTTCACAGGAACGCTAACTGATTTGAGCTCCAATGAAGGTGTATCTGTAGCACATAATTTGGCTAGGAGAGGCAGTGCTTACCCGCGTATGGTTCCCTTCGAAGTACAGATCACTGGAAGCTTTCAGCATTTCTGTAATGTTTCGATTTATTTACAAATACTGTACATGAATTCGGTATAGAGGAAGAGGTGTGGTGTAAGACAAAATTTCGTTAGATTTTTAGAAACTCGGCCCTATAACAGCACTCTCCTGAAATGAAAAGTAGGACTTTTGCCTTTCTTTTCAGCCCCACTCAAAAACTTCAGCTTCTGTTGTTTCTCACCCAGAGAGAAAACCAGCTCCCATCATCTTTAACTGATGCACTGTTGTTACTGATGTTGAGACAGGTAGGTGTGAGATTTTTCTTCAGTCTTTGGTGGACCTTTCCTACTCATAATATTTAAGAGAGGTATTTGTGTCAAGTAACAATCATCTAAAAATTAGCTGCCATTGAAAGATATAATTGCGATAACACAGACTACATTGGCCATCTACCCTGAAATTTGCATTAGATTGGGCACAGATGAACGTGAAATAAAACCCAGTGAGTACATGCTTAATGCAGGGAAGACTGTTATGGAATCATTTTTTTTTAAACTGGGAAACTTTTTTTTGGTTCACCAAAATTTAAAGTTTAAATGTGTTCTGATTATGTGTCAGTTCCCCTCAACTGAGATCCATTTGTCTCCACACAGTGTTTTCTCTTTTAAAAAAGACTTTCAACTCAGTGTTAGAATACACGATTACTATGGCATTTAGGAGAACAGTGGAGAGAGAGAGAGAGAGAGAGAGAGAGAGATTTAAAGTTTAAATTTGTTCTGATTATGATGACATCACTCTTGTCTGCTTTCAGCAAGTGTGGTCACCTGATCAGATGCAAAGGGATGCTCACAGTGGTGTCAGTTCCCCTTAACTGAGATCCATTTGTCTCCACACAGTGTTTTCTCTTTTAAAAAAGACTTTCAACTCAGTGTTAAAATACACGATTGCTATGGCATTTAGGAGAACAGTTAAGAGACAGGCAGAGAGAGAGAGAGAGAGAGGTGGAACTTGCCAATTAGCACCTTATCACAGTTTTTGTGGTTGGAGCCTCATGCAAACAGAGCTCTCTTCCTCTGCCCCTGCTGACTCCTACAAATTGTGTCTGGGTGGCTACAGCGATTTTACCTGTGGAAACCCAATTTCAACATCTGTGAATTCATAGTAGATCAGACTGTATTTTCCCCACTGCGTAGTTACACCTGTGGAAGTTGGGTTTCCATAACTGAAATTGCTTCAGCCATCCAGAAAACCACATTCTATAATGACATTGATTGGTCAAGTACAAGATTCTAGCCGGCTGTCATCTGAACAAGGTTAACAATAGGACCTGTGACTGTAAATTTTGTTGCCTAAGTAAGAATTGTTTGAAGGGCTCCTGTGAGACGACAGAGTATAAAGTTGCCAGTGTTGTAGCAATGCCAGGATTTGCTATGTTGGTGATGGCATTTGGCACCCTTGTTCAATAACCTCAGTCTCTTTGAGCTTAACTGCAGTTTTTATACTAGTTGCCCAGTATAATGACATTGCTTGGTCAAGTACAAGATTCTAGCTGGCTGTCATCCGAACAAGGTTAACAATAGGACCTGTGACTGTAAATTTTGTTGCCTAAGTAAGAATTGTTTGAAGGGCTCCTATGAGACGACAGAGTATAGAGTTGCCAGTGTTGTAGCAATGCCAGGACTTGCTACGTTGGCATTTGGCACCCTTGTTCAATAACCTCAGTCTCTTTGAGCTTAACTGCAGTTTTTATACTAGTTGCCAGGGAGGGGAAGGATAGGTTTTTTCAGCAACAATATATATTGTTGTGACCTATCCTTGTTGGCAATGCAAAGTATTCTGGGGGATTTCTTAGATTTGAAAAAGCAGTTAAGAGCTATTAGTTTTAGAGACAACCTGCTCTTGGGGGAGATGGAAACTGTTAGAACTAGCTCATTGATAAGCTGCCCCACACCATCTGCATTCTTCAGCTCTTTTTGGGCATCTGGGCTATCAACAAGTATGGTTGCATTTTTAAGATTACAACCACACTACCTATACAGGTGTCATTGCACAGTCTTATGTAAGTGTAGGACAATACAGCATTGTTGATCCCAATAGGTGACCAGGCAAGTGTCTGTTGACAAGTCCAGTAAATAATGCTCAAGTCAAACACACACATACATACTTCTGTAGGCTGCAGATACACCAAACAAATCATAATGGTTGCATTTTTAAGATTACAACCACACTACCTATACAGGTGTCATTGCACAGTCTTATGTAAGTGTAGGACAATACAGCATTGTTGATCCCAATAGGTGACCAGGCAAGTGTCTGTTGACAAGTCCAGTAAATAATGCTCAAGTCAAACACACACATACATACTTCTGTAGGCTGCAGATACACCAAACAAATCATATTCTCCTGTTTGAATGGAATGACACTCAAGTCATACATACTTCTATAGGCTGCAGATACACCAAACAAATCATATTCTACAATGGTCCTGTTTGAATGCACCAAGCTTTTGATTGAGCCAGGCTTAGCTATCAGTATTTAAGCAACAGATTGTTTTTCTGCTTGAGTCACCTGAATTGGTTTGCTCACAAGCTTCAGGGCTGCACAGCTGGATCCGGCTGGGGATCAGGGAATATAGATGGTCCTTTTCTATCCCAAGGCTCTGAGCCAGAAGCTTATTCGGCTTGTTTTATTGCTGATGCAACAATATTATGTAGGTGACAGACAGAGCTTAGACTTGACTTTAGATTTTGCCTTCTTGGACTATAGCTTGCAGAGGCTAAGCTGCCAGAGGGATTCTGGGAGCTGTAGTCCAAAAGGTAACTTTTCCAAGATCTGCAATGATAGAAAGAAAATCAGAGAAGAAATGTGGAAGTGGGACAGGGAATGGCAGAAAGAAAGAAAGAAAGAAAGAAAGAAAGAAAGAAAGAAAGAAAGAAAGAAAGAAAGAAAGAAAGAAAGAAAGAAAGAAAGAAAGACCTGGTGTTTATGGGAAAGAAGTCATGTGGTGCAACAGGACTGTTTGCCTAGTAACGAACTCTGATTGGATGACATCGTGGGAAGGTGCGATAAGCCCTTGCCAGTTACTCTTGAAAAAGGAACTTTTTGCCTATGGACATTGTCATTCAAGACCGACTCTTCAGTCATTCGTGACACACGGGACTAACCTTTACTTGGACTGACCTTTGTACTATACTGGATTACCCTTGGACTTATGGGCTTTTTCTTAAGGACTATGGCTTTTTCTTAAGGACTATTTTTCTTAAGGACTATGGATTTTCTTAAGGACTATGGAAAGAAAGAAAGAAAGAAAGAAAGAAAGAAAGAAAGAAAGAAAGAAAGAAAGAAAGAAAGAAAGAAAGAAAGAAAGAAAGAAAGAAAAAAAGTCTAGAAATGAAACAGTTTGATTTGTCATTCTGATAGTTCGTATACTTGCTTCTCACGTTGTGGAAGAGGCTGAGTTACACTCAGCTCTTTGTGTTTGCGTGATTCTTTAGTCAAGTTTAGTATATGACTAAGGAGGCCCATGTTATCAAGATAGTCAGCATCTTCATGTTCATATAATTCAGACTCCATCTTGCATGGGAAATTTCTGCCTCTCAGCAGTTCAAGGATTACTCACTTATCAGAGATTTAGCAGTGACATTCTGCAGGCCACTCCTTTCAACTTCATGGCATATGGTGGGCTGAATTGCATGATCTGATCTGTGGAGGGATTTGTTCAGATTGTGACATTTTTTTTGTTCTCTTATGGGACTCTAGAAAATCTTTATGTTCATATACTAATTCAGACTCCATCTTGCATGGGAAATTTCTGCCTCTCAGCAGTTCAAGGATTACTCACTTATCAGAGATTTAGCAGTGACATTCTGCAGGCCACTCCTTTCAACTTCATGGCATTTGGTGGGCTGAATTGCATGATCTGGTCTGTGCAGGGATTTGTTCAGATGGTGACATCTTTTGTTCTCTTATGGGACTCTAGAAAGCTACCCATTTGGCAACATCCAGATATTCCTGGATCAGTCCATGACTCCAGTTATTGAAGACTCTTCATCAAGTACACTGATATCATGCTCGCTATCAGAGTATCTCAAAACAGCAGCTGGTGCCCATTGCATTTGGTGACGTGGCACGCACAGTACAGGTGGGCTGAGCCAGAGGTGACAGGAACAGGCAAGATCAGAAGTGGGCATTTCATACACATGGATACACATAGATAGGCAGACCAACATTCACATATATACACAGCAGGAAAGGAAACAGGTGGAGTCCTGACCTTCAGCTCTGATAAGGGCACATGCTGGAGTGGGTTGCCTTCAGGTAGCCTCAGCCTGGATTGGGCAGTGCTCCAGTTGTCCTAATGGACCAGCCTCTGCTGTACCTCATGGGGAAAAAGTGGTGGTGGTGTCCGTTTCTGTGGCAATAGAATGCCGCTTGTTCTCCTGGTATGTCGACCATCGCCAAAGCTGTGCATGGCTGAGACAACCCAGATCCTTGAGAAGCCGTAGCAGGTCATTACGGAACTTGACACCTATGAAGCCATAGAGGAAAGGGTTGAGGCAGCAGCGGAAGCAGGCCAGGCTATAAGTCACATCACTGGCCACATCCATGCGCTTGATGACATTGCACTGGTCACTGGTGTAGTTGAAGGCGGAGATGGTCTCTGCAAGCACAACACTATTGTAGGGAAGCTGAAAGAAGACAAAGACCACCATGACTGCAATGAGGACCTTGATGGCTCGATTCTTCTCAAAGCTGCGAGCTTGTTGCAAGGTCCTGATGATGATCCAGTAGCAGGAGGTCATGACGAGGAAAGGCACCAAGAAGCCGAAGACCATCTGAGATACTCTGATGACAGTATTGAAGACCAACAAGTTGTCTGTCATGAGGGTACAGCGTGGCTTTTGGTTTGCAGACTCATGCACACCCCGGTGGATCACTTCGGGGATAGAAAGGATGAAAGCTAGGATCCAAATGGAGAAGCAGGTGATCTTGCTGGCAAACACCCTCTGAGAACGAAGGCGGTGAGCTGAAGGGGCCTGGACAATGGCGAAATACCTGTCAATGCTGATGGAGAGAAGCAGCAGCATGCCGCTGAAGAAACACATCTGGCAGACACAATGGACAGCCTTGCAAGCAAAGTCCTTGAAGATCCAATACTTGGCTGCGCTGACAGCCCAGAATGGAAGAGTTAGCAGGAAGAAGATGTCTGCTACAGCAAGATTGAGCAGGTAAATATCCGTCATTGTCTTGAGTCTCTTGAAGTAGATGTAGGTTAGCATCACCAGGCCATTGCCTGTCAGGCCCACAAAGCACACGAGGGAATATATGATGGGTAAGAACGTAGCCCGGAACTTCCGAATATCATCTTTGGTGCAGATTTCTTCAAAGAACCTATAGTCAAGGGTGGCATTGCTGTAGTCACCAATCTCATAATCACTTGTTACATATGTGCCCATGCAGGACTAGGAGGGAAATTAAAGGAATGGTTACAATTCAAATACTCCATGTTAAGATCCTTGCAATGTCATCTAAGTCAAGAGTGGAGGTGAATATGTGCCCTCCACCCCAAGGTTGCTAGACTGTAAGTTGGCATCAGCTTTAAGCAGCCTAATTCAAGAAGGCTGATGGAGCTGAAGTCCGAGAACATCATGATGGCCCTATGTTCTGTACTCCTGCACCAAGTGATGAAAACAGGCAACAATCTTCAGGTAACATGGAAAGCTTTGGAGCCCATCTAAACTATAGCTATATAATCGTTACTTTGCATTTTAATGATCACAGCTTCCTCCAAAGAGATCTGTGATATGAATCACTGTTCAATGACAGTACTCTTCTAGATCTCCAGCCTCCATCACAACATTACAGAGGTGCAAAACCATTTCAAGTCTCAGATTTCAATAAATCAATATAAAGGGGTGGACAAAAATTACCATAAACTGAAATAATTTATCAATTTATCCAATTTGTGATCTCTGTGCAACCATGGGCAAAAGTCTGTGCTCACCTTTTGGCTTTTCATCACTGGGAAGAAGTCATAAGTGGCAGATAGTTTATTATGCCTCATCCCCACAATTTTCAAATTATATAGAAATAAATGTTTATGATCCAAATTCTGTATCTTGGAAGAATCAGGACGTCAAGTTTTACATAGCAACATCTATGGCAATAGTCAAGACAGTTTACAGGATACTCTCTTATGCTCTCAACCATTCACACTTGTTACAACAACAACAAAAAAAAAACAGGCATGGCAGAAGGTGGATGTTTGACTGAGAAGTGGTTAACTGATGCAAAAACGACTCAGCTTCTGGAATTTTCCCTTACTTGTTGTCACTTAGCGAATGGTAGTGAGTACAAACAAGATAAAGAGTATCTTGTAGGCCAGGGGTCTCTAACCTTTTTCACTCCACGGACTGGCTGGGGAAGGTGGGGCAGCCCCCATGCTCATGCGCATGCATGAATGAGCGTGCTCTCTCACGCGTGCGAACAAGCACACATGCACAAACGGCAGCATGGCACTTGTGTGGGCGAGCGCGGTGGTTGCGTATGTGTGCAAACAGCGGCATAGCACTCACGTGGCACGGGCGCTCTTGTGCACATGCAGAAATGGTGGTGCGGCACTCACATGGGCGCACTTGAGCACACGTGCAAGCATGCACAAATCAGCTGTGTGTCATGAGTGCGTGCAGGGAGTGGGAGGACTGTCTCTGCAGCCTGGTCTGGCCGGCGTGAGTGCATGCAGGGGGTGGGAGGACTGTCTCTGCAGCCTGGTCCAGCTCAGGCCACGGACCGGCATCGGGCCACGGACCGGGGGTTGGGGACCTCTGTTGTAGACTATTTTGACTTCTGCCATTGATGCTGTCAACATTCAGGCTGCTCTTTGCTATGTAAAGCCTGACATCCTTTTTCCTGCTGGCAACTTGGACATGGTATTGTACAGCAATATTAGGGCATTATGCAGCAATATTGGAACATCTCCTGATGTTCTGAATCATAGGTACAAAAGCACAATATCCCACATTTATATACTAGAGATTTTAAACACAGTCACCACTGTATACAAATTCCAACAGAAACATTTTAAACACAGACACCACTGTATACAAATTCCAACAGAAACTCTCCTCATGTGGAATTACCCAGCGCTACAGGATCCCAGCAGGTGAACTCCTGATCTGTACTATGATTGCTGGGAGAGGGCAGAAGCAAGACCAGCTCGGATGCAGCTGTAGTCCCTCTGTGCCAAAATATTTTGAAGGGCTGTTTTGAACTTCATTAAATGGCGAAGCAAAGGTGTGACTAAATGCAACATATAAAATGGATGTTACACATCGATTTCAGGTAAACTAACCAAAATGTTACACCTTTCGGGTAAACTAATGTTGCCATCCCCACTTCACAGAATGCAGATTGAAAAGCTATGTTCCAATTTCCAAACCCTTTCCTGGGGATAGGCAGCCTGAGAAAGAAAAGCTATATTGGCCCAAAAGCTCTACAAACATGTTGTGTGCATATTTTCCAAAAGATGTCCACTTGCCTTTTGAAAGGAAAAAAATGTGGGTGTGGGGGAGAGCAGGGAGTTAATAAAGATTGTCACTGGAAACCATGGTCAATATCAAAGTATGTGAAAGAAAAACAGTGAATCAAGACAGGGACAAAAATCAACTCATTTGAAATGTGGTGTTGGAGGAAAGCCTTACAGATGCCACAGATGCCAGAAAAGCAGATAAGTGGGTGCTGAATCAAGCCTGAACTGTTACTAGAGCAAAAATTTGTCAATTCTGTGTACATGGAGGCTAGCATACCATGTACACAGAATAAAAATACAGAACTGACCAGAAAAGACAATATTTCTGGGACAAGTGAGGGAGGGCAGTAGGAAGAGAAGAAGACTTAATGTGAGACAGATTGTCTCAATAAAGGAAGCCATAGCTGCTAGCTTGCAAGACCTGAGCAGAACTTACTGATCTTTGTCAGAAAGGGGAAGGGGACAGTAGGAAGAGAGAATTACCTAACGTGAGAGTGCTATTGGTTTGTAAGATCTGAACAAAACTGTTAATAATAGGATATTCTGGGGGTCATTAGCTCATACAGTCACCACATGTCAGAAATGACTCAATGACACATAACATCTTTGGAGCTTCTGCCCCCCCTTAATTATCAGACAATTGTACAGTATAGTGAAAAGACAGGTGGAATGGTTGAAACTATTATATAGGCACCAAAGCTCTGCTAACATTGGGTAAAATGATCCCCAGTCACAAAATGAAAAACAGTAATTTAACTGTTTAAATTAGTGAGCGTTTGAATATTTGTTCTCTATTCTTTTTTAAAAAAAGAATATTTGTACAACCAGATACAAAATCCCTTTGCCAGCATAAATGTCAGTTTGGCCAGGAAGGAGTTAAAAAGTCCTCCTCATGAGAGTCAGCTGATTGGGTCCTGACTGAGGGGGCCATAAGTTCAGATTGCCCTAGACCTGAAGCTGATTTTTCCTCTGAAGATTTGTGTCAGAAGCCTGGCCTTATAGCTGCTGGGAGAGAAATACTGTTGTCCAGAAATAATATTGTAAGATATCCCTTCTCTAATGCAAAGTTTTTGAGGGTGATTTGGTCTTGAAATGCGGAATTGAGAGCCATTGACTACAAAAGTGAAGCTCCTAATTTGATATGTATCAGTCCAGCTGCCTGGTTTTTGGAGGGATTTTTTTTCATGGAGTGGCTATGGAGATTACAGTGACATACACCTGCACTTTCAAATTTATCACTACCCCACTGGCCATAAGCATCTAAATGTGCAGCAAATAAATCATAGTTTAGAACGTTTCATATTTCTCCCTCTCTATATTCAGCTTCATTATTTATTCTGGTCCACTAGTTCTGCAACCTTACTTTTCATAGTGTTAAGAGGTTCCAAATGGTTCACCATTTCCTACTCCATTCTGAACTACAGTTTCTGACAAAGGTTTGCAAACAGTTCTTTGTTAATTCAATTATCATATCAAATCAAAGTTAAGTTTCCTTGTCTATGGTTTGGCATAATGCCTGAAATAAGTCAGAGTTTTTCCCCCCTAAACTGAAGAACTGTCTTTAACAGTTTTAAACATTCAGCTTAAAAAGGGGGGAAAAGCAATCCATTGTGTATAGGTAAATATGTTATAGATAAACACTCTTGCTTGAAACAGGGCAGTCCGAATCATTTCAACCACTCAGGAGTGACCTCAGCATGTGATCTGTGAAATATGTCTCATGATCTTTTGCAGTTTCTCAACAGAAGCTGAAGTGTATTTGATGTGCATGTTGGGAAACTCCAGACAATTAAATCCCAGACTCACCAGGGAGGCAAGTTTAGCTTGGGGGTTCCTACCCTGCAAAATCATTAGTAAAATGATAGAATTTCCCTTATCAAAACTGGAAGATGTGTGTGGGGAGAATCCATCCAGCAACAGGGCTTGACTGATGTTAGGGGAGTGCTGGGAAAAAAGAAGAAGGCTAACAGAGCTCGGGAATATTATATTTTATTTGGTGTACAGAAACTCCCAAGAATGCTGTTAGGGGGAGTCTGGGAGTTTTATTCCCCTACCCCCCAAAAAAGATTCCTAAGTTTGACCAAAAGACTCTGAGGGTTAGCAAGAACAGGTTAGGAATAGCATTAATGGAAACTACTGGAAATAGCAGGCGAGTGAAACAGTGGGCTCTGGACTTGCTGTAAAAGCAACGAAGAAAGACAGTGAAAGAGCGGAGATTGGTAGCGACTGTTGGAAGGAGAAGAAAGACATTTAGAGAAGGTGAAAGAGGACACAGCAGCACCCAACAGACACAGGAACAAGGGCATATTATTCAGATTAGGGACCCATCATTTTTGTTTGTTTGTTTGTTTTTGCTGAGGCACCCTAGGTGAAAGACTGAAGTGCCAGAGGGGGCCCAGAATACTTGAAAGCCTAGGGGCCCAGCCATGGGTTAATATGGCCCTGCACTGGAGAGGCAGGTGAAGGGAGTGAAAGAAACCCACCATTGATCTGGAGGCATCAGCCCATGTCATCTTTAACACCCACATAAAATATAGCCTAGGTGTACAGTATGTTGAAAACTTTGTGGTGGTTACAGCGTGTGAGGGTTCCTACCACATCCTGTGGGTGTAGTTAAGGAAGCATCATCTAGGGAGAAAGAAAGGAGTGAGCCCACCACTACCCCTCCACCCCTTCCCATGTATGAGCATGGGTGGGTGAGAGAAAGAGGATATTTGCGCCTAACCTTAGTTGCCAGCTTAAACATGTGAAATGTGGTTTTTCTTGACTCAGAGACGATAGATCTGCTTAGAATAGTGGTTCTCAATCGAAACCCCAGATGTTCTTGGACTAAAACTCCCCGAAGCCTTCACCACTAGCTGTGCTGGCCAGAATTTCTGGGAATTGTAGTCCAAGAACATCTGGGGACCCCAAGATTGGGAACCACTGGCTTAGAACAAACTTCTCACCAACGTAGTGCCCTCCAGATGTATCAATCTACAACTGTCTTCACTCATATAAAATGGTATAATGAAGTAAAGAATATAGCAGCTTAGAACAAACCTCTCACCAACGTAGTACCCTCTAGATATATTAATCTACAACTGTCTTCACTCATATAGAATGGTATAATGAAGTAAAGAATATAGCAGCTAATGAAAAATTGACTTCAGAAATAAAGTTTTAAAAAAGGAGAGAAAAAAAAGAAGAGATAATGACAAATAGATTAAATGGAATATGGGAAGAATTTATAAAAGCTGTATTGTGTAAAACAGGCAATGAATATATATATTTTGGAAGGGTTTTTGGAGTGGATCAAGGCTGTATTTTTGGAAGGGTTTTTGGAGTGGATCAAGGAGAAGGAAGATTATGATTAAAGTAAAAGTATGTGAAATATGATAGTCCCTGGTGTGAGGGGTGCGCTAGTATTTTGTTTTCATGAGTAAGGTTATTTGTACAGTACATGTATTTTGTCTTGTCTTGTAATTAATTAATTTAAAACATTCCAACTATCTTCATCTGGTGGTCCAACATCTCTGGAGCTTACCTAATTGGGAGAAGGCGGCTTAAGATAAAATAACATAACAAGAGCCCTGCTGGATCAGACCTAAGGCCTATGTAGTCCAGCACTGCTTTGCCATAGCAACCAAACAGATGCGCAGTGGAAAGCTCCTAAGTGGCCACCACTCCATTCCACTGCTGATGTTTCCTCAACTCATCCTTTACCGCCATAACTCTCAACAGATGGAACACATATAGCTGCTGAGATACAGAAGTGGTGAGATGCCATTTTTTTTTCTGTCAGAAAATTACGGAATTGTTATTTTTGTTTATTCATGTTCTAGTCATAGCAATAAAACAAAAATAAAATTGTTATTATTGTTGTGTTTTATAGTAGCAGCAAAATTTATATTCAGCAGTACTCTTCTTATACTTTCAGCTAATGGAATCATTATTTTATTTGCTTATACTGTGTTTCCCCGAAAATAAGACAGGATCTTATATTAAAATAAAAGAGGGTCTTATATTAATGTTTGCTCCAAAATACGCATTAGGGCTTATTTTCAGTTGATGTTTTTTTTTTCAGGTACAGCTATCTACATTTATTCAGATACATCTATCTACATTTATTCAAATAAAGTCACATTATCTTCTTCTGGTCGCTGCACAATGGTAGAGGGTGGGGTTTCACTTATCTAGGGCTTATTTTTGGGGTAGGTCTTATTTTCAAGGAAACAAAGTATTTATCCCTAAGAATGTTGCTTCATTTTTAGTGTCTATTTTCAGGTTATGTCTTACTTTCAGGGAAACAGGATATTCACCCCTAAGAATGTTGCTTCATTTTTAGTGTCATAAAACCTACCGTGAATTATGCCTGTGAATATATCATTATACTTTTTGGGAGGAATGGCCTCCCCCCCCAATTGGGTGAGTGAGGGGAGAACCAGGTTCTATGGCAGAATGATGTGGGGGGCCCTTAAATGTGAAAGTTTGAGAACTGCTGCTTTACAACTAAAGACTATTTTACTAGACCTCTATAGGTTTGTGTTCAAGTCCCTAAGGAGCCAGGGCCAGTCTACTGCCTCACCTGACTTATTTCACAGGATGGCCGTAAAAATAAACAGAGACGGTAAAGCTATGTTGCTGTTCCACCTGGAGTCAACCGACGACTGCTGAGGAAGATTTTAAAGTGTGTATAGGTGGATGGGTGTGGTGCTGTTGCACTTTCCAAAATGTTTTTTTAAATTGTTTTCAGATTTGGTTATGTTTTAATATGACCATTTATTTAATTGCGTTAATTAATATCATAAATCTTTGAGACTTTTTTTTGTACATTGCAAGAAATTTGTAAACTGTCTCCAGTTCCAGTTTTGGGAGACAAACAGGGTTATAAATCAAGTTAAAAGTGCATGCTGCCCTGACTTTAATGGGGGAAAGGCAGGATGTAAGTGTAGCTAACAAAAACAAATAAACATACACCTGGGTCATTAAATGTTCCATTTGTTCTACAATCCTAAGGTTAACCTCAAACACTTCCATTTGCTGAGCTCCTTTTAGTAATTGAATAGGGAAGTGGTGGGAACCATAGAGAGCAAGATCAATATTTAGGCTACTTCTTCTCTCTCTTTAACTGTGCATGCACGTGCGCATGCACAGACATGCGTGTAATATGTGGCGGCAGCAGCTACAGCAACAAAACAACAACAACAACAACTCAAAGGACAGCAATCAGAGAATGCAATCAAGTTCTACTTCGTAAGTTTCTCACCTGGAAAAGGATGGGCAGATTCCACAAGATGGCTAGCTTCAGCTGTTTAACTAAAGGAAAGAAACACACAAAACAAGTGCTATTAGAAGCCACCTTCATGAAGACAAAGTGCAGCTTCAATTTCTGGCCATGCTGGCTTGGGAATGTGAGGAATTGTAGTTAATTTTTTAAATTTTATTTTCAGTTATACACAGAAACACACACACACATTTTCCTAAGTGAAGTGGCTTCCCTCATTCAGGGCTTAGTCCAAACCACATCTCTGGATCCTTTTATCTATTGTATGTATCTCTCTTTTTTGCAACTTGTCTAATGCAGATGAGCAGGTAGAGAAAACAAAACATTACTAAGTAATTGTGGCACCAAGGGGATTAGGGATAAAGAGTTTCCTGGAAATTGAGATTAGTTGCCACCAGGTAGACTTAACATTCAGGCACCAGTTCCATTCTCCCATAATCACCTTTTGTTGCAAAATTGATTCAAAGCTAAGACCTAAAAGGTAGGCTTCAGTGACATTGTCATTAAGGTCACTTGTTAACTGAACCACCATTCCCAGAATTCCGCAGTTAAATAGCCGAGAACTCACTCACTCAGTGTAAAGTATTGCTTTATTCTGATGGATTACATGAATATTCCCATGCCTTGTTTTAGGAATTAAGCAAATTCATTAGATCATTCATTTTATTATAATCCAAAAAAGGGACTCAAGCACACTTCTTCTTCAAGTGAGATGGTGTAATAGCATTTCACTTTTAACAGTGGATGATATATAATTCGTTAAAAAAAAAACTCAGATGGATATCCATCCCTTAGTTTTACTATTTGAAATCTATACTTCACTTCTTCTTGTTGTTGTTGTTGTTGTGTACTTCACTTGTTGTTGTTGTTGTTTAGTCGTTAAGTCATGTCCGACTCTTCGTGACCCCATGGACCAGAGCACGCCAGGCCCTCCTGTCTTCCACTGCCTCCCAGAGTTTGATCAAATTCATGTTGGTAGCCTCACTCAACAGCTATAATAGGAACCAACAAGGTAAGACAGTAACACAGATTTTCTCTCTTGTTTTCTTTTTTCTTTTTAGAGGAGAGGTACTGGAGCTAAAACCTGCCTATTTAAACTTAACAACAGCTATAATAGGAATCAACAAGGTAAGACAGTAACACAGATTCTCTCTCTCTTTTTTTCTTTTTTTCTTTTTAGAGGAGAGGTATTGGAGCTAAAACCTGCCTATTTAAACTTAAAAGCCCTCTACCTATTGTCAAACGGGTATTTGAGCAGAATGCTTGCTGTTATTAAACAGCAAACGAAAATCCTCTACACATGCTCAGAGACATGCTTTCACTGTGATTACTACCAAGGCAGAGCCTTCATCCTAGAAATATATTGAAGGGCTAAGGACGTGAAATAGCCAGGAAATCACAGTCTTAAAAAAAAGCAATTCAGCTCTGGATAATTTTCCTCATAGGAGCAAATAAGAGAAAGAGAAACAGTACTCACCCCCATCCATGGCTTTTCACTAGTCGGTTACAGACTGAAACCAGCATGAAAATGTGAGCAGAGTGCTAGTTATGAGCCAGCCAGCCTGTGAGGCAGCAACTTAGAATGATCCTGCATTAAAAGCAATGTATAGAGACACTTCCTCTTTTTGACTCATTTTGCCCAGCAGTGGTAAACCAGCATTTTGTGTACATAGCTTTTCATACTTGAAAAGGGTCACATGACCCTTTGCGCTGAAAAGTTGAGATTTAGCCACCTCTCTCCCTTCTCTGAGGAGAATGACAGACCACTGAGGGACCTCCATGGGCTCAGGAGTTTCCTGCTGTTTCAAGAGAATGTGGCTGGAGGTACTTTCTCCTTGGGAGAAGAAGAGTCTGTAGCAGGAATTGTTGTCCATCACTTGTTGTGGGAATACACATGAAAAGATGGGCTCTTCGTGGCATCTCAGGAACAGGACTGATTTATATTTATTTACAGTGGTGCCTCACAAGACGAGCCATCACTTGTTGTGGGAATACGAATGAAAAGATGGGCTCAAAAAAGAAATCTTGCAAAGCACGGTCATAGAAAAAAACGTAGTCTTGTGAAGAATCAGCCTCAAAAAAAATCTTGCGAAGCACGGTCATAGGAAAAAACGTCTTGCGAGGCACCATAGTGATAGCAAAAACCAGTCGTCTTGCGGGTTTTCTGTCCCACGAGGCAATTGTCTAGCGAGGTACCACTGTATATGCATGGATAATCTGTTTTTGTCGGTCTCAAAAAAAGTCTTGCGAAGCACTGGTCTAAAAAAAAAAAGTCTTGTGAAGAATCAGCCTCAAAAAAAATCTTGCGAAGCACGGTCATAGGAAAAAACGTCTTGCGAGGCACCATAGTGATAGCAAAAACCAATCGTCTTGCGGGTTTTCCGTCCCACGAGGCAATCATCTAGCGAGGCACCACTGTATATGCATGGATAATCTGTTTTTTCACCTACCAGGTCCCTCAAAGCAGATGGGTGGCATGGTAGGTGAGGGTGAAGTGTGTGCAAAAGTTATTTTAGGGACTGCATCCCCCAGAATTCCATAGCCAATATAGCCACAAACCCATATATAGTTGCTGTGTATGCTATTTTCCATTGAATAGCTAGAGTTTGTTAGATTCAACACAAGTCTCTGACCTTATCAACCCAGATTTAGGAGTGGAGGAGTTTAGAGAAAAGCAGGTATTAGAATTATGGTGAAAGATATTACTTGAGCTCAATGGAAAATGCCTTCCACTTTTCCTGAATTCAAAGGATGTAACGTTTAAAGCCATTTTGGTGTGGAGTTTGTTGTTGGTTAGAAATTAAGTTGTTTCAGTTGTTTGAAAAACTGGGGCTAAGAAACTTGATAGCTGAGGGGGTCACATTGGCTACCTACACCCATTGTGGCTCATACTTTTTGCTGTTGCACCACGTAGCAAAAAAAGCCGGCATTTACAATTAGAACAAGATGTAAGGGAGTGTACAGCTTGTTTACAAGATGATCAGCATTTCTTAGGAGGCTTTGAAAATAGCTTATCTCTTTACAAACATGCTGTACGGTGGTACCTCACTAGACAACGACCCCGCTGTAGCATTTCTTAGGAGGCTTTCAAAATAGCTTATCTCTTTGCAAACATGCTGTACAGTGGTAGCTCGCTAGACAACAACCCCGCTGTACGATGAATCCGCAGGGCGGTGACTTTTTGCGATCGCTATAGTGATTCGCAAAACAGTCGTTCCTATGGGGAAATTCCGCTGGACGTCGATTAGGTCCGTGCTTCGTGAACTGTTTGTTCACAAGACAATGATTTTTCCAGCTCCGCAAAACGGCTGCCCTGTGTTTTCCGGACCCATGCTTCGCAGGGCGGCCATTTTAACAGCAGATCGGCGCTTGAAAAATGGCTTCCCCTATGGGTGATCTTCGCTGGACAACGAGGTAATTTCCCCACTGGAACACATTAAACGAGTTTCAATGCATTCCAATGGGGAAAGGCTTTTCGCATGACGACGATTTTGCTTAACAGCGATTTTCCCGGAACGGATTATCGTCATCATGCAGGGCACCACTGTATATACCTTGCATGAGCTGCTCTGTCACAGATGCTTGCTACTGCCAAAATGTGAGGAGGAGGCTGAATGGGGGAAAAGAGGGGTTATTTAATTTTTCCCTTGACAGGCTATTCCTCTACCTGTCCAGATGTGTTGCTAGGCAATAAAATACTGCACTCATCCATGATGTAATTCTGGATGAGGGTGCTGACTTGGTGTGCATTACTGAGACCTGGGTGGGAGAGGAGCACCAATGTCACTCAGAGGGTCGGGAAGGGGGTATGCCGTGCTTAGGTCAAGTATTAATGGGTGCATTTTAATTGTTGAGACCTGAGGATGTGGACAGGGTGCTTGGATCTGTCCGTTCTACCACCACTCTGCTCGACCCTTGCCCATCTTGGCTAACTGGAAGATCTGCCGGGGGTGCGTGTCGCACCTGGGTCCAGGAGGCCGTGAACACCTCTTTGAGAGAGGGAGTGGTCCCTACCATCTTGAAAGAGGCGGTAATTCAACCACTTCATAAAAAGCCTAAACTGGACCCAAGGTTGGTGGTTAACTACCGACCAGTGACGAACCTCCCTTATTTGGTCAAAGTGTAGCAGGTTGTAGCCAGGCAACTCCAGGCGCTGTTGGATGAAACAGATTTTCTGGATTCATTTCAATTGGGTTTCAGGCTGGGTTTTGGTACGGACACTGCTTTGGTCACCCTGTACGATGATGACCTTTGCCGGGAGAAAGACAGAGGGAGTGTGACCCTGTTGATACTCCTGGATACTCAGCGGCTTTCAACACCATCGACCATGGTGTCCTTCTGGATAGGCTGGCTGGTTTGGGAGTTGGGGGCACCGCTTTATGGTGGTTCTGCTCCCTCTTAGCTGACTGTGTCCAGAGGGTGGTGCTGGGGGACAGCTGCTCAGTCCCATGACATTTATGTCATGGAGTTCCTCAGGGCTCGATACTGTCCCCCATGCTGTTTAACATCTACATGAAACCACTGGGAAAGGTCATCAGGAGGTTTGGGCTGAGGAGTCAGCAATATGCTGATGATACTCAGCTCTACCTCTCGTTTTCCACCAATCCAGGTGAGGTGGTTTCTGTGCTGATCTCGTGTCTGGACCTGATAACGGACTGGATGAGGGTTAATAAATTGAAACTCAGTCCAGACAAAATGGAAGTGCTGTTACTGGGTGCTTTGCTGAAGAGGCTAGAGGGCCATTTCCCTGCCCTGAATGGGGTTGCACTCCCCCTAACGGACAAGGTCTGCAGCCTGGTGATGCTCCTGGATCCCGGTCTAACACTGGAAGCCCAGGTGGACTCGGTGGCCAGGAGCGCCTTCCTTCAGCTGCAGAAATTATACCAGCTATGGCCATGCCTGGACGAGCAGAGTCTCGTGACAGTTACACATGCACTGGTAACATCTCGTATAGATTACTGCAATGCGCTCTGTGTGGGGCTGCCTTTGAAGACG